CCGCTTCCGCCTCCCCGCCGGGTCTGTCAGCGCCGGGTCTGTCAGCGGGGCCGCCGCTCCTCCGACACGGCGCCGTCCCCTGAGGGGGTCCGCGGCTGCCTCAGGGGATCGGAGGAGCCGGGGGTTGGAGGGGGTGGAGTCCCGGGAAGAGGGGACGGGCGTTTGGGAACGGAACTCGCGCTCTTGCTGCCGGTAGCCGGGTGGTGGTGAGGATTCACCCGCGAGCCTCCCGAAATTCCTACGGTGATGGCGTTTTGGATCGGTATCGAAGGCGTGCCGCCGCGGTGGAGTATCCTGCTTGGACAGCTGGGGACCCCAGGCAGTTTACATAAACCCAGAGTTTACAGAAGGTTCACTGAGCAAAGTTTGAGCTCAGATTAATCGATGGTAAATCAGCTGTCCCCGGTTTTGGTTTATTACTCTAGCTTTTTTAAACTGAACTCATAGGCAAACCCACCGCAAGGGAGATAGATAGCCTCGCCCTGGCAAAGCAAATACACCTTTGGACAAATCAGAGGTAGGTTTCTCATTCTTCCAAATGCTCGCCTTTCGTCGCAAACGCAGATTTGAGAAGCTGCACGCAGAAGGCTGCACCGCGCCATGTCCCACCGCTCCACTTGCATCTCCTTGCCGGTATATAAACTCCGAAGTAACGCAGGAAAGCATCGCTGGAAGTGGCTCTGCGTAGCAAAATCTTGCTCCGAATCAAAATCGCGTTTGACTCGGGTACGGTTAAAAACTGCCAAACCACAGAGCCTTCAGCAGTGAGCTGTTCCGTCCTGGAAATAAATGTAATTAGCTTGTAAAAAGTCAGACGTTGCTTAAAGACTTCTTTAAAGTGGTAGTCTGATGTAATAAAGTAACAGTTGAGACCATAAATATCAAATACAGTTGGAGCAAGCACACAGAGCAGAGAACTGTGAGTAACCTCTAAATCACAGCACTACCCAGGGACGCGGGCCATCCATCCCCTCTGTCACAGCTTGCGCAGAAGGCAGGTTTTGCCCTTGATCAAGATAACCATATTTCAAGGAAATGGCATGCTATTTTGCAGGGAATTATGATTCATTTGACTGTGTTAACTGTGTGTTTTGCGTGGTTTCCTCTCTCCCCATCTCTCGATTCATTCATATACATTATTTATAAAGAAATGCAAACACTTTCTCCCCTGGTTTAATACATCATGACCTCCTTCTGAAAAAAATCCTACACAGAATCTATACGTGTTATTAAATATGAAAAACGTACAACAGTGAGCATGTCATTGTCATCTTTTGTTGCCCCTAATTAGTTCTGGGATAACCCTTCTAGCTTCAAGAGAAACCAGATTAGAACTTGTCTGTCAAGACTGAGGTTTATTTTATGCAACATGTGTAATATCTGAGCAACCAATGTCATAATTATCAAAATGATTACTCTATCAGTCAGCAGCTCATTTAGCCAGAACACCTTTACATCTTTTTGCTGATTAGGTACTTTCTGAAGCAAAGACACATGGCAATAACTAATACTAGTGCATCTGGGTATAAGGGCAAATAACTACTGCAATACTCAGTATGCGTTGGACCAGCCCAATGTAGGTCTACTGTCAAAAAAATGGACGCTCAATATGAATTGAATAATATTAGACTAAATTTTTTATCCATCTCCTGTTTTTTAATTCTACTATTTAGAATGCTGGCAAGAAAAATGATCTTTTGATCGAGACTCAGTTACTTCCCCTCTTCTTGTTCCTTCCGTGAAGGAAATCTTCATGGTGGGTCAGTGGGCAGCAACAGAATAGAGCATAATGAAGCAAATAGAAATTTTTAATTTCAGGTAGCTGAATCTCAGTAATGACCAGATCATAAGATCTGTATTTAGTCTCTGCCATGCAGAGTGCGGTTAAACTTGTTCATACAAACATAACGCACTGAGTTTACAGCTCCGACAGTGTCACCGAAGCAGACAACTTCATGCGTGAGCGGGCAGGAGGAGTAACTGGTGCAGTCTAAGGCAGCCAGTTAGAGCAGAGCGCATTTTTAAGGGGAGTTCTCTTCTGGTTTGGTTGAGTCCATGTGCCCATGTAGACACACATTAGAAACCACTTGAGATCAGTTTGTTGCTGGGAGATGAGATGCACCGATAAATTGGTACCTTGTCACTTTGTGGATTGGAAAGCATGGACAAACCTTAAGATTTCCCCTCCTCACTGGCTGTGTTTATATTTTGTTTCTTTTCCAAAACGGATGCGGATGCAGTAATAAAGGGATTTATCTCTGGGTGCACACTGGAACAGGGCAGACAGCTAGCGGTTCCCTGGACCACAGGACTAGGGAGCATAACCAGGCTGCTGCTGGTTTGGTACACAAAATTTTGCAATGTAAAGACTTCTTAAATGATCATGAAAGTGTGGTTCACTGTTCAAACATGTTTGAAGACTGTAACCTTTGTGCTCGTGACCAATTGGTACGTTACTCATAGTTGTTCCACCCACAGGCTTGGCACTGAACAGTACACCCTCATAAGTACCATTTGCTTATTATCAAGTTGATAAAAGCTAGCATGTATTTGTACAGAGCTTTTACTTACTCTTCATAGCGCAAAGCCGCTTCTTCCCTTTCCTTCTCCTTTGTGCTTCATCTCACGGAGGAAGAAAAACATCTTACTGACAAAAATTGGCATCACGGAAGACAGGGAATTCCAGCTTTAAAGGCTTACTAGAGAACGCCACGGCACCGATGGGCCTCCAGAGCACCAAACACTCCAAAGTCAAGCAAGCTAACATACTGATCTTAGGACTTGATTATGCGGGAAAATCTACACTGTTGTACAAGTTCAAGTATAACGATGTTTTTCTAACAATTCCAACAGTTGGTTTTAATGTTGATATGATTGAAACAGAGAAAGATTTTACACTGACGTTTTGGGATGTTGGAGGACAACAGAAAATGAGAAAAGTTTGGTGCAATTTCCTGGAAAACACCGACGGACTGCTGTACGTTGTGGACAGCTCTGATAAGCAACGTCTGGAGGAATCAAAGAAAGAATTTGAAATCATTTTAAAGAATGAATTTATAAAAAGCGTACCAGTTGTCGTGCTAGCAAACAAGCAGGATTTGCCTGGAGCTTTGAACGCTGAGGAAATAACCAGGAGACTGAAGATGAAGAAATACTGCAGTGACAGAAATTGGTATGTACAACCCTGTTGTGCTATCACAGGAGAAGGTTTGTCAGAAGCTCTCCAAAGACTAACCACATTTGCAAAACACTACAGCAGATCAAAGGAGACTTCTACAATCTTCAAGGAAATCAAAACACTTTAAGAATTCCTAGCATCAAAGTCTGGTGAACGTTAATCAACATATTTTGTTGGACAGACTAAATCTGAAAATACTGGATTCTGGAGAACTCTTATAAGTAAATATTTATAAAGAACTTTGACAATATGAAATTAGACTGTTATACCTGCAGATGCTTCTGAGGTACTACTCTGCAGCATTTTATTAGTGATAGTATACTCGGGGTTATTCAGCTCAGAAGTGTGGCTGTTGAATAATGAAAAAGGTGGAGTTGAGCTTCTGAATTTTAGCAATTGGAAACAAAATAGGTGAGCAGTGCTTAAAATCAAATAATTTTGTCCAGATGTAAAATAGCCAAGTCATTTGTTCAGCAAGAAAAGCGAGAGATAAAATGTTGTTTTGCAATAAATGCTCTGTGGACGTATTTCTCATGTAAAAATGTAGTTGTTTTAGACCTTAAACTCTTAGTTCTGTACAAGAGAACCTATGAATCTGAAATACTTGTTGGATATTATTGCATTCTAGAACCAGTTACTCTGAACAGATTTTAACAAACAGATCTGCTCCGCATCAAGCCACAGACAAAGCTGAGATGCAGTGCTGTGTGTAAGGTGTAGGCCTGATGTCTCTTTGTTACAGATTTCCACATACCGATTTCTTTGTTTCTGCACTGTTGGATTGCTATCCTTAGCTGGGAGCAGAGCGATGGAAGTCAGCATGGGATCAGTCCAGCGAAGAGCTGATCCCCATTGTTTTTGGGGTGGTGGGTAAAGAGGGGAGGACTGGAGGGATTGGCTCCTTGGTCATTTTTTTATAGATCTTGATGTATCCTGTCCTGCCTGGACTGAAGCCACCTGAAATTTTGTTACTGATAAATTTAGGTTTGATTAAATTTGATGTAAGTGGCACAAAATTGCTAATTCTATTACTACAGTTTGTAGAAAAAAATTCCAAACTAAATTTCTGTTCAGATCTCCTGATTGATGAAGGAGTGAATTAGTATTCTGAATGCCATTAAAGCAACGAAGGATTGATAACTAGAAGACTAACTGAACTGTATCAACCATGAAAACAGTTTAAACACTGAGGCTGAAAAGTTAATAGGGCCTGCTCTTTTAAAAGCAGGAGAGAAGAGACCATCTAATTACTGGTTATACAGTCCCAGAAAATCCAGCCCAATTATTTCTGCCTTCTTGAGCAATGTCTGCAGAGGTAGGATGCTCCAGTTGTTAGGATGCTTGCTTAGATAGCTGCATTTTTTTTTTTCCCCTACATCTACCACAATCTTTGACCGCTGGCAAGTCATTTAATCACTCTGTGCCTCAACAGTCCCTTGGCAAAATGAAATACCCAGTTATGCGCTCTGAAAAAGTTGTGGCAACGGTCAGCTTGTGACCCTTTCTCTTGCAACAAAATGATTATGCCAAGTAATTCACGTAAGAAATTTACATTTAGTTCTTACTAATAAACAGGCAGGAATTTCAAGTTATAGAAGGGTGAAGCAGCAAGAAAAGCACCCAGACATACCCTGTTGTCTCATGCATATATTATTCAAAGACAAAAAAATCATCAGGTGAATTTGCTGAAATGGTAAACAAAGGAAGGTTTCTCAACAGAAGCTGTTATTAATACTGACAGTAATTACCATGGGCTAAATCCTGAGTCATGTTGAGACTACACTTCTAAGAGGAGAGCAACTATTTAGACTAGTCATTGCCTGGTCTGATGATTTAGGCTTAATATAAAATACCATCTTCTGTCCCAAAAAAGACTTTTAAAAGTCTGCAACAATGGGAACATTAGTTTCCTAAACCCAACAATTCAGTGTTTAAAAATGTAGTATTTCAGATCAATACATTTATAAACATTTGCATGCGTATGTTACATATTGAATTCTCCCACTAGTTTGATCTAATCATGTGCCTATTATAAATCTGAATCTAGTTCACTGGCCTCAGGACTTCCTCAGGGAGAAATACTCCTTGAGAGATTTAATGAGAGTGCACCAGGGTCTCTAATTAGACAAGAAGCAAGTTCTGAAGGGAGAAATAAAGTAGTATAATAGACCAGCTCCTACAGCTAAAAGAGAATAAGCTTTCAGGCACACAGTCCCTTCTCCAGGTTATCAAATTAGATTAAAAGATACTCACATTGACTTGAAAAAAATCTTTTACATTATGCTTCAAAGGAAATAAATAAACTCTATTCCATTCACTTTACAGAATATCGAGTATTTAAAAATTGATTTTTTTAAGAGCTTGGTTTCCTAAAGAAGTGAAGCCAGGCCCATTTTATCTGCCCATGGAGACCCCTACCCTTTTGAGTAATTTTTAAGCTTTAAAACAAATAGCAATCAAGTTGGATAGAGGCACAGGTTCTCAAAGGAATTATATGCCTGGAAGTTTAATTAAAAAAATCAGTGAGAGAGAGAAAAGTGACCATACTGGTGCACCCAGTGAAGGCAAGGCTGATAAGGTACAAAAGACTAATCCCCTAGGAGATAAATGTTCCATTTTAGCTGCAAGAGAGCCTACAAGAGGACATAAATCCACAGAGCCCAGACTTAATAAGTTCCTCTGCTCCTGGAGCTAGTTGGTCTTTTTCTATGCTGAGTAAATAGTGTACTTGGGGGCTTCTTTAGGATGAGGAGATAGAGGATATAGAATACGCGGCCAGTTGTCAGAGCCAGGAGGGAGCAGGGCCCTCCACGCCACTCACCACAGCATCTGTGCCTTCTGCCTTCACCCACGCACTCACCCCCGGGCACTGTCTGGTCCCTACTGGAAACCTGGAAATAGATCTCCATTCCCATCACGTGTTATGTGGTGAAGTCAATAGCAAGGAATTTACAAAGGTGTTTTACAGCTTCATCCTGCTATGGAGAGTTTTAGAGCTTTTGACTGCTTGTCTGAACAATATAATGAGCAGAACTGTCGTTAGGTTTCGGAGCACAACAAAGTGGAATTCTACTTGTGCTAAAAATACAATCCATAGTATTGTAAGCGTAATTTATTCCTGGACAAGTTCTGTTTAATTTTGTTATTTAGAATTTATATACGTTACTCACTAAAAACAATTTTAGGATTTTTGAAGGGTTCAGGGTACTTTAGAAAGTGAGAAATCAGACTATGAAGAGTGCTGCCCCACAGGCAGTGGAACCAAAGTCTGTGAGTTGAAAAGTTTGCATGGGATGAAAGGCCTTAAAGAGTTTGCCCCCCCCATCCCCCCAGCTGTTGATATTGCTTCATGTTTTGGAACTTTTTTCATTAGTTTTCCTAATAGATCACATGATTGTGATCGCCCTGGTGTTTCTTGCATTTTTAATTGATGCATACTGGGAGTCTTGTGCAACTGTGCTGAAGTGGTAGAAGCATTACAACTGTATTGTGGCTCAAGTGTACAAGTCCTCCTAATATTTCTTACACAAAGTTTGCTGTACCTGTTCGTTTCTGCTGACAGAACAGTCATCCATGAAGTAATAAATGGTACATATCTGAGATTGTGAAACACAAAGGGTAGGATCTGGGAAACCTGAGGCATACTGTATCCTGTGCCCTCTCGAGGAGATTATCCACTGGGACGTGTTTGGATGTGACAATTTAAAAGCTGACAAATCCAGAGTATGGGAAACTGTCCTTTTGACCATTCACTGATAAGATTACTGTGGTAATCATGATGAGCTTTCTGAGTTTTGAAATAGCTGTCATGAGGCTCATTGAACATAGTTCCAGTGGGATGAAATGCCATTTTAAGGGAAGGTGTGGAGCAGCATAAGAAACCATTGCAGATTTGGATAGTAACACTCCTCCTTCCTTGCCTGGGAGACAACTCTCCCAATAATAGAATACTCTGCAGAATCAAAGGGAAGTGTAGTGTATAAGAAATGCAGGACAAGGTTTTTTCAGTATCAGGTAATGTAGAGCTGGGCGAGTTACTCAAAATGTCTTTATTGCCATCTCCTCCTCATTTCTGACAAGTTAACTGAAACAACCAAAGACTTTCATGTATCAAACAAGTTCTAAGTCTACTGCAAAGGAAGACAATACTTTGAAGCGCTGTACACATCTTAAACTGCTTAAAGCAGGCTTTCTTCCCAAAGTAAATGACCCATGCTGAGTTCTGTGCTGCTACAATTAGGCTTCTTCCACTCATAATTAGCTCAAGTATTCCTATTCAGCACAGACATAAGGATTCTGGACATGTATCTCATCAGATCACACAGGCTCGATTATACAAGTCTCTAATTTAGGATGTAAACTCTTGAGGGTGGAGGCCCTACTTACAAAGCACACACCATACTGCCAGTACAATTTGCAAATATAAATTCGTAAAACAGTAACAAGTCCAAACACATCTTATTTTGAACGCACATAATTTTAACAAATTTTGCATTACCTTGTCTTTCGGTTTCTACAATATTCTGTTCTTTAGCTGTGATAAATGTTTTTGTACCACTCCCACTCATCCACAGTGTGTTTGCAGTGTAACTGTACCACATCTAGTGCTAAGTTGGGCTGCCGTCAAGAGACACCTCCCCTCACCCTCTGTCACCTCTGCGTCCCCTTCCCCAGCTACATATTTACACTTGCAGGTGTCTGCACAACACAGCTTTCTCACTTTCCTTGTTCTTCACCGGTTATCAAAATGGCGATGCCAGTTTCCGTGGTCTTTTTATTAGATTTTTCACCGAGTGTTTCTGTGCTTGCTCTCATGCTGCTCCTTATACTTGGAATTATCTAAACACATTTACAAAACCATTTCATTGTTTTCTTTCAGATCCTCCCTTGAAACACTCCCTTCCCATGATGTATGCTAAAATCCTGACAATAACTGTTAGGGTTTTATGATGGGGCCCTGGCCCGTATCTTTTGATGAATATTCTTTTATTATTTCCTTGTTCTCCCCATATTTATTCCTATGTTCCCTTTTAGCCTTAGAATGTGCTTTCTTTGGTGCAAAGATCATCTTTTTGTTCTGTGTTTCATATACTGCCTGACCGAGAAGAGTTTCTAGACATTATATTA